GAATCCACATCTTTATACAATGAAAATGTCTTTAATTACGATGCGTCACTTTTATTACAAATTATTAGAAGATATTATAACATACAGATTCTCTTCATGTCAGCACCGTGTTGATTCCCCGGTTTGTTTGTACGTCTTCAATTGGCAGGAAGGTCATTGGCGAACCAGTTCAAGGTGCTCCCTGGAGGAAGCTATCATTCTATTTGTGACTGTGTCAATATGAAGAACTCCGATTAGCTTAAAATGTAGGTCACACAGCTTACAACATATTTATTTATTTTATTCCATATCATTATCCTATCTTTACAGTAATTACTAATTCGATAGAACGACACAATATTTATACCCACACCAATTAACCTAGATAAAAAACATTAAAAAAAATATATTTATATACCTAAATCTTATAACTAATACTAATATTCCATAGCTAATGGATTTGCGACAAAAGACAATAGCGATGTCTTCAAAGCTTCATCGTTAGAACCAATACAAATTAGAATGCACGTGCAATCTATATTAGGAGACACGCATAAATGCATAAAAGCATAAAAGACATAATACTCATTAGGGCGGCGGCTTAGAAGGGACTTCGGTTCTTATAAAGAAGAATTTACTTATTATCTTTAAGGTAGAGTGACATTTTTCCGTTAGTCATTGCAAGTATGTGATGTGGTGACTGATAGTTTAAATCATATTTCTATATACATACATATATATTATTCAAGTGAATGTACAAGTTTGGGCCACACCCTAATGTTAATGAAAACTTATGAAAAATCAGACTTAGATATTCGAGAACAATAGACAAACAAAGCCTTTACTGCTACAATACGTTACATCGGTGGTTTCGATTTGCTTTCCTAAGAAATTGAAAAACATTTTAATTTAATGTTCACCAAGAAAAAAGTTTATTCCCCCAGTTAGCCAACATATTATTTGTTACCGAAATTGAGTGGGCGTGCCTTTCTCACTGAAACTGACTGTCCAATAATTTAGCTCGTAATAACGTTCAGATATAAATGAATATCTTTATTTATTGAAAAGTAGGTCAGGCGTGACGTCAGAGGGAAATTGCTTTGTTGCGACGAAAGTGTTTTCTTATTTTTATTTGGGCTAAAAATATAATTAACTTTTAATACAATTAACTGCCAAATGTTAGAAATTGACCCTACCGATGATAGTACTCTGCGTCAGGGGTCGAGAGAACCGCCTTTTGCTTGTATCTCCATAAATTCTCATCTTCATATCGTCGGTTATGGAAATTACACCTTGCGTTAATTCTCTTTTACGGGAATACATTCTTTATGAGTTTCTAATAAAGTCGTGTTTTCTTTAAACGGTTTTAGACCTTCCGATTGGGCAATGTTATGTTCGCATTTTGTTGTTCCTAAGCTTCAACCGATAGATATATCGAAGAAATTTTAGATGGAATCTTAAATGTGTTTAACTATTAAGGAATACATATTACAAAGAAACGACAAATGTATGAATTGCAATTCCATGGATGATGTAGATATTTAATTTGCGGATGTGTTGTGTGAAAGGCAATCGTTGCCAGTGACCGGTAGTCTCTGTATTGCACTTATTCAGCACTTCCTAACATCATTTCCTACCGCACTTGCATTCCCCGTAAAATGTATGATATTGATACGAGTGTAAATCCCTTACATAACATAATAATAGCAATAGATAAATCACGCGAATTTAAACAGTTTACAAATAGATGCAGTTCATTCTGTCTCCCAACAGGAATGGGGGATTCGATTGGGTTTTTTTTAAAGTAAGTAACGTTCAGTAAACTGACATTTAGTCAAATACGTTCACACTGAAATGATAGTGTACGCACTGAAATAGATTACAGATATTTGAAAAGACAAGTGGTGTCTTGCATCTAGCTATGTGTTCGCTACATAGACATATATGTATACACAGTCAGAGCGATTGATCAGAACGCGCATACTATTGCATCAGCTAGCAACCCATTCATAGCACACGCTTCGCAGCTTGCATCATACTCCTTCGAGCCATTACGTTATCAGGAAATGGCAGTTAGATCGTCACTTGCACGAGAATAAAAAGTAATATTAGAAGAACGGAAAGTCCTGACTTTTATTTCCGAGGAAAAATTATTGTGTTTGCATATCATATAGGTGTAGAAAGTTGTATAGTTGCTTTGACCAACGAAAAGGGCAAAACTGCGTTCCATATCTTTCGGAACCCACAATCTTAATACGTACAATATATCAACGTGACAAACGCTAACGACATTGTTTTTAACTAATTAATAACGAACACGTGTATTTACGACAAAACACGAGTTCATCGCCACCTTTCTGAAACATTTTACACATACTCCCAGACAAATTACAATTAATATCTTATTTATTTTTGAGTTTTTAGGAAAATACAATCTATATAGACCGTAAAAATTTACATCTACAGACAGTTTTAAAACAATTAAGTCACTTTTTTGCTATAGTACTAGATAAGAAATCATTTATTTAATGTAATTATTGTATGAATACGAATATTTATTGTAAATATAATATAATACAGGCATAAAACAGGTAAATATGGAAATTAAATGGTATATATTGAGAGATTGAAGGAAACATTGTTGCGGAGGTGTGTTGGGCGAACGGATGTAGATGTTTGTAAACTTGTTCGTGATCACACAACAACCCGACGGACGTTTTAACATTTTTGTAAGATAATAGTCGTCTGTTAATTCTAACTAATTATAAAAGCAGGCAATTGACATTATAAATAATGACTAAAATAGCAATACAATATTTCGCAATGAGTTTGATAGAAATAGTTCTACCATTTCAGCTTTCAGCCCACAATTCTTCTTAAGTTTTTAGTTATATCTTCTCCAATTATTGGAAACTTCAAGAGCAGTCAAGTCAAAATCCTATTATTTTATAAAGAAAATTGATAAAAGAAGGAAAAATATAAAGTGAAAGGAAGTAAAGGAAGATATTTTACCTTTAAATTTATGTTCGTTGTTTTGAGGCGCTGCAATAAACCGAGGATGAAAATACTTTTTTATGAATTCTTTTCTTAAATGTTATGAACTATACTTTACTATTTAGTGAATCGCCAGAAGCCGTAAAGCAGAGTGCAAAACGCAGGAAGCCAATGGGTTACACCCAGACGGGCTTAACATAATTGGATCAACGTTAGCATAGCCAGGCAGTCTGAGGTGCTCGTCTACCATATTTTACATAACTTTTAAATGTATTTGAGAGATTTTATAATTGGCTGTATTCAGAGATATATGATGATACCATTGTTGGAGAAAACGTCACCGCAACCTTTATAAGCTTAATGTTGATCTCATCTCTAAATAATAGATTGATCAGATAAAGACCATACAGTGTCAGCATAAAACGCGTTCAATTATATATTAAGAACTTGATCAAGAAGATCTATATAAAACAACTGTTTCGTAAAAGTTACGATGAAAGTATTAATTATAATTGTTCAGTGTATTCGTTATGGCCGCATTTTGCTTTCTTTGATACACATATTTGAGATATATAAGTTGATTCCAAATTCGGTTGAAAAAAGATATGTAAAGAAGAAAAAGTAATATTCCGGTTTTTAAGAACGGTGTGAATTTTTTTTTTGCGGTTAACCATATGTCCGTAAAGGAAGCGGAACAAAAACGGGACAAGCGATGGGAAAGCGGCGATATCCGGGAGACGCCTTGTGAGACATATTTCTTGATGAATAGTGATATTGTCCACACCAAAATTGCTACCATACACTGTCAAATGCTATAATACATACATACATAGTAAACGAGATATAGTAGGTACATAGAACACTTTCCGGCCCACATATGTGCTTTGTATAATATCTCAGCGGGTGTAGACATAAAGGCTCGGATTATAAATTTTTATTAAGTTTATTGCGCGTTTCCTTACACACAATTTCCATATCAGTAAAGCGTCGTGACGCCGTTACTCGTTACGGGCGGATGCCATAAAAGCTTCCACATGGCGCTACTAAAAATATTCTAAACAATGAAATTATGGGGAATTTATCTGCGGATTCTGCATATATACTTTATAGTGAAGGGGCGACCTTTTACTCGTTTACTCTATTCGAGCTACTCGCCACAGTAAACACGAAAGAAGAGAAATGACAAAAAAAAACAAACTGCATTCGATGTGAGAGATTGAACGGATATTTGTTCTGATACATAATTTGAATATTCCTGTTTCGATATAAGTACGCGCTACATATATAAAATATATATTGATATTGACCTCATGTATCATAATATATATAAATATGTTTACTTTGCGAAACAAAAGAATCCTGAACAATTACTTTACGTATTCTGTGGACGACTGGCACCAGTGACGCCCGGACCGCCCTCGGAAAGCAGCAAGCTATTTGGCAGTCGTAAAAGTGCCTCGTAAATTCAGCGACACAAATGCGTCCCTTTGTGAATCTCCAACCCCGCCGGTAATCATCTGCGATAAGCTGCCGCCGAACCGTTTGATGATCGAAGGGATGAGCTCACCGATTGTACCGAATGGGGACGTGGCCTATTCGCTTAATTTTATGTTAAATTGCTTTTTCGTCAGGTACATAACGTATTTACAAAACTTACGTAAACATGTTGACATTTTAAGGATACATTTGGTTAGAAAACATATAGTTATACTGTAAGTAGATACGTCATGTCACTTAACTTTTTACTAAGGGAATAAGATAGCGAAGCGATAAAATTCTACATCATTTAATCCTAGCGAGGAAAGCGTAGGTCGCTTATCGAACGAACACCGAACACGTCCGAGCCGCACCGATCAACGGTCGCCAGTTCACGCTCGACGCGAGCTTAAACGAACGTGTCGCGTATCACGTTACGTACAAAATACATTACAACTTTCGTTCGCGTAATAATTAGAATATTTGTTCGATAACGGCTCGACGAGGTGATCGAAGGTATAATACATTCGTGTATTAAGGTTCGATTGACAATGCCCCTTCAAGACGAACTGATCTTGTCGAACGAGCAAGTGTTGCGAATGGTGAACGAGTTTAAGGCACGCCCTATGCTGTGGGACCCCGAACACGACCTGTACAGGATACACACCGCCAAGTACGAGGCGTGGTCAGAGATCGCAGCGATATTCAACTGCGATATAGGGGATTTGAGGAGGAAATTCAACTCGATTTTCGCGTCACATCGACGCGAGAAGGGAAAAGTGCGCCATGGAAATAAATCCAAGTGGTTCCTCTATGACGTGTTGAGCTTTTTGCCGAACCATGTCCAGAATATGTCCAGTCCTAAAAGAAAGGCGTCTGCAAAACCCGTCGAGTTTCATGTAATGTATTCATTGAAACAGTCATTTATTGATATTCCAACCCCTTTTGGGTTTCAATTCCCAAGAACTCAAACTGATTTTGACATTTTAAAGGAGCGATCTGATGAAATGTGTTTGACTAAACTTGAAATAAATATATTAAACGGAAACGCATAAAATTAAACATAAATTAAAATCGATTCTTTTGAAATGTTTATATAGTTGTGTATCATGTTTATGTATTCTCTTGGGTAATCTAATGAATTCTTAAATAAATATTTTTTTTAGTAATGGAAAATCGGGTATTTCTGTCTGTGTGCTAGGCATTGTATAGGCTGTACGTGTATTTAAATAAGACCGTTTATATCTCAAAATAGCCTCATTTCAGCTAGAGAAACTTTGCATTACATTGTTTCAACCCCAACAAAGTTTTCTGATCAATTTACGAAGCAAATATTATTATAAAGTTCATTATTATTAAAGGGTTTGTTAATAAGTTATACCTAGAAATGTTGAAAAGCTGTTGAAAGTTTTAAAGTACTATTATTTTTTATGGAAATGGGGATAGATAAAAAAATAATCATTAAAACTTTTTTAACTTTAAAAAAATCTAAAATATTTAAAAAATAAATATCCGGCCGTGGGACAGACCGCTAGTGTTCTATAATCTTCTTGGCACTATGCTCGCGTGTCCTAGAAACTGCACTCGCTCATATTCACTAACTGACTAGGTAGTATCACTAACTCAATTGGTTTAATTCTCTTTGTTTTATTTAAAGAAATATATATTTAATAATTGTTTTCCAACTAATAAGGGTCAGCCCTTTGGAGTTTTAAAAACAGTTTTAAAGTAAAAAAACTTGGTGCCATCTTCGTGCCATTGAACATGCTATAATTACAATATTTTCCATCAGACTATATAATATATATATATGTATATATACTTACTAAACGTAGTGTGTCGACTGAGGCCGGATTTCCTGTTCATTTTACGAAATGTCGTAATTTGTGTGCTTTCAAATTGAATAAATGCTATCTAGTGTTTCTTGTCCACTACCTGATTCATACATCTTTTAGGTTAGTCAAAAGCCTGAGCTTATTTAATTATTTCATAAAAATCAACTGTTTTCAATAAATTCTTTCTTAATAAAATCGATTAATTTTAACAGTTGTTAGATATTTACAATACCTGAAATAGACTAACTTTAAAGTGGCGGATTTAAATGATTCGTATACTTTTCTTTCTACTAAAGGTACTACATATATCCAATACATATAATCTTCATATGCACTGTGAATGACAAAATATACATACTACTTACAGCTTATGTTGTTTGTAATTAGAGGTAAATGCGTTGAAAACATAAATTAGACGAATGTTGGGGATAGAATTTAATTTAGAGACGAGACGAGGGTCTCAGACAAAGGAATCTATTCAGACTCGGTCAGTGTTGAATGTTGATCAAATTGTTGCAATAAATGTCTTGAGATGTCGTCAACTTGTTACGAGCTACGGGGCTCATTCTTAATTAATTGTTTACTACTACCACTGTATACGCTAAATAATTTAATATTCTATTTTCTTATAGTATCATTATAGTTAAGGAATTAATAAGGCGATCCCCGCGCGAGTTTTTACTTGTAACATTAAAATCGTACTTAGCTTCTTGTTAGATTAGAGCGAACCTACATACTAGTTTATAATGGACAACTAAAATGACATATGTGCATAACTCAATTTAAATCAAATTTGTTTACACTGCTTGACCTTTCTATAGAATTTATTTGATACTAGAAAAAACCCGATGAATTTATGGAAATAAAACTAATAAAACCGTATGCCATACATACTCCAAGTCCCACAGTCAAGTCGTTATTTTATATTTCGTAAAATTGCAACACTGTCACAGTATTAAACTTATGGCATACTTAATAATTATTATAGATATACATTTTTTAAAATGCAGAAGCCTGAATGTTCCCCAAATGACGGAAAACGATAACGAGGAAACCTCTAGGTATAGCATTACACCCAACCGAAGATAGACTCAGGGCCTTACTAGCGGATTGAAGCGGCTGAAGGCGGGACAGACGCGCAGCGAATTCGTTGCAGACGTACAATACACTCACTTACAAAATGGTGGTTGTTCGTGAGACGTGTATGCCACCCAAGAAAACAGAAGACTGGGAAACATTAGCAAAGGCTTTCTAGAAAATGCTGATTTTCCTAATTGCATAGGTGCAGTGCAAACATATTAGGATGATAAAGCCGTGTCATAGCGGCGCTCTATATTTTAACTACAAAAAGTATTTCTGTATGAATTTGCTAGCAGCCTGTGACTACAAGTACATATTTGTTGATGTCGGTTCGAAAAGTTTAGATTCAACTATATTTGACAGAAGCCAATTGAGAATTAATATAGAATTAAATTCAGCTAAGAGTAGAATTAGGACACAGTACCGATAATTTATTTTCTTGGTTCAAATAGTTTCATTCTTTTATAGTTTGCATTTTTAATTTTTATGCTTGTTTGTATTTAACACTGTTTTTTGTATCTACTTGATTTCGCTGGTCGTGTCCACATGTTATAGGGACGGCACCGCTTTTGATATTTATGTATGTATGTCAATTTTTATCATGTGTTTGTCCTAATTTTGTGGTCCAAATAAAAAATAAATAATAATAATAATTATTATTAGTATTTATATTTTAATTTTTAGTGTTAATTTATTTCACATTTGTATGTACTAGTAAGTATAAGTAATTACAGCAATAAAGGCTTTTATTTTTATTAATATTTTTATAGAATCAAATCGTTTAAATATCCCACAATTGAAACAAATAACAAATAAAAAATGCAATCTCGCACGTTACGGACTGAAGTGAGGCGGGGCGGACAGACTGGCGTTTGTACGAGACTGTACAAAATGGCGTCCACGCTGCTATTTGCGGCGGTCTCGCGGCGCGTCCGCAACGAATTCGCTGCGCATGGGCGGCTCGGCCGCGACGGATTCGCTGCGCGCTCGTCCCACTTCTCAATCCGCTAGTATGATAAGGCTCTGAGCATAGCCGAGCCGTGCCGACAACTCTCCGCGCGCCAGTCCCCGCTCGCCGCGCGCCAGGGCGAACGTATCGCGTATCATGTAACCGCATGCCCAATATAACATTTGCTTGCAACTAAATTCCCCCCGTAATCGAGCTAAAAGCAGTTATTGTGTTCTCGTTACGTTCGGCCAAATAAGTCCAAAGAACCATGTCCCATAGAGAGGAACATATCCTATTCAACGAACAAGTGATTCGTGTGGTGAACGAATTCAAGGCCCGCGCGCTGTTGTGGGACCCTGAACATGACTTGTACCGGGTAAAGACCTCCAGGAACGAGGCGTGGTCAGAAATCGCGACAGAGTTTAACTACAGCGTAATGGATTTGAAGAAGAAGTTTAGGTCAATCTTCGCGTCACACCGCCGCGAGAGGTCCAAAGTTCTGCTCGGGATTAAGACCCATTGGTTCCTCTATGACCTTCTGAGCTTTTTGCCAACTCACGTTAAGAACCTAAAGTCGAGCAAGAAGCGAAACTCGTCTGCGCAGAAAACCCTTCAAACTTATGTAATATACAGTCGACTCTCGATAATTTGAAACTCAAGGGACCCGAGATAAATTACCAAGAGTTCAAAATAACAAACGTTTAAATATCCTTATTCTAGTAAATAAGAGTTTGATCAAAATTCGTGAATAATGATTTACATATTATTATTAAAGCGGACCATAGACGGACCGCATGTTGCAGTCAAAACCGACTGCAACATGCGATTTTCTCAGGAACTGCTCGAGCGGTCCGTGTATTGCGAATATGAATTCAGTATGGAAACTGTAGATCGCCGTGCGGCGACCGCTTAGAGCAGTCGGTATCGGCTGCAACATGCGGTCCGTCTATGGGCCGCTTAACAATTAAATACTTATTCACAAATTTTTATTTCGAAAACAATACCATAATTTATTTTTGATTGAACGACTTCAGTCTATCATAGTGATGATGTCATCAAACATTAACATGACTTATTAACGTTTGAAAGAACACTAGATTGCGAACTTACCCATTTCTCATTTATGTAAACAATTGACAGGTCACTTCAAATTTAAGAGAGAAGAGAAGGTTGCGCTTCAAATTATCGCATGATGGCGAGTAAGAAACTACTCCTTCAACTACAAATTACCGAGGGGACCAATTAACATTGCGTTTAGTCAATTTATCGAGTATTTTCTCGATTGGATACAAAACCATGTATTGATAGTTGTATCATATTATATTGTCATTTATAAGCTTTCTACCGAAACCGAAATCGATTCCAGGACGTTCGGCATAAACGCCAAGTATGATAAGACAGATGTATCTAAGAGTGTTATGCAAACTCTTAATAATCAGTTTTTCTCTTATTTCAGAAACAAGTCGATGAAAACGTTGACGAAGTTAACGATGATCACGATGGCGACACTGATCATTCCGACGACGAAACTGAGTTCATTCAGGAGGCAATAATTATAAAAACTGAACCAGAAGACGAGCCACCGCCAAAAAGAGTATTGCACTACAGAAAGCCAAGAGCGGTTCGACCTACGCGACCCTCTTTTAAAAGGCACTTTCTTACGCGCGAGAGGGACAGAAGCTTGACAGAACCGTATGTCAAACCATCACCGGTTAAGGGGAAAGATGAATGTGATAGTTTCGGAGAATATATCGCGGTGTCACTACGTAAGCATGATGAGCGGACGCGGTCTATGATCAAACAAGCCATCAATAACATATTGTTCGAACAAGAGATGAAGAAATACAATAGTTCCTCGTACGTAGTGGAGAAGAATCCTTTGATCATTGGTGATAGTGACGACTGTGAAAAGTGATTATTACAGTTTTTAAATATTGAAAACGGGTGAAGGGACTTTTCGCAATGGACTGATGGGTGGTTCGATGTGAACATTTTATAAAAATAATTAAAGAAATAAAAATATGTAAATTCTCGTTTTTCCTTTTGTTTTATCAAAAGTTTTCCACTACGAGATTGGTGTTTCCGCATGAAAATACTGGGAAATATACTGGGTAGATAGGATTCGATTAATAAAAAATTCAGATCGTCAGATGTATAAGATGTTAACACGCGATGTTAACACAGTTTTCCTCAACTTTTTACATCAATCTTGCATCTAGAACTGCCTACGCGCCAACAAGCACGAGGCGTCACCACTTAATATTAGCGTTCACTGAAATTACAGCTAATTTTGTTTCCATAGCGTTTTCGAAGGGTTCACTTATGTCTCAATGCTGTTGAAATCAGCAATGTACAAAAGCAATGATTTTCTTTAGAACTGATTTGCATTACGGCTAACGAGATAGTTCGATGTTCATGTCACGCTTTTTACTCAGTATAACACGTAAAGGCGTTGCTAAAGCCGTAATGAATTGTGGTTTATTAGTCAAGTCGTGTATAACTCTGTTTTTAGTAAAAGCATCACGCCATTTGACGTCACAAGCGCGATGCACTCGAGTCTTGCAGGTACCGAGTTACCGTGTACCAGCGAGCTCTGGTTCGTGAATTAGCCGCAAGTTGTTACTAACGGATTATATTTCTACACTGAAGGTTAAAAAACAACTTTATCATTGTAATCAAGATCGCGATATTTTTTTAGATTTTAATAACTAAAAACATTAAAGTTGATTTTATATATGTAAACATTCAGCCACAATAGCATTCCCTATTGCTAGTACCTACATATGTTTGCTGTATAGCTCACGTCGCTTCCGTTCTGTCCTTGATTATTCATTAATTGTTATTATCTAGAACTAGTCCTAATGCGTCACTGATGTGTTTATTCATTAAACACGATAATCAGCTTATAAATAATAATAATCTGAATTAATTAGACGTTTTCTTTTTGAGATTTCATCAATTCAGTATTCACTGGTTTTTGCTGATGAAAATGATATAAAACTGTGTGAATTCCTTTGTTTTGAACAGTGTTATATGCATTAGTGGGCCGATCTTTCTAGATTATGCGATATCACGATTTCTTATTCTCTCTTTATCATTTTTGTTCGTGTATTTTTTATTCTTAATTCTGGATTGTCATTAATAGTAAACACCTGTTTACTATTAATTTTGTATTATTATTTGAGCTTTGGACAAAACAAGTGTTTAAGATACAATATATCTAAGTCTCGCCGCGAAATGACGTTTCTAAGAACCCCAGATGTCCCAAAACAAAACATATTATTAAAGACTACGTGGAAACACGCAAAGTTAAATCCCACTGTAATCAAATGAGCTACCTGTATCGTATTATCAATCGTTGCCAATATCGAAAACAACAGACACCTCGTCGCCAGCTCTTAATATAGGTGTTACGACATTTCCACTTGTATTTTAATTACATCTCCGTAAGGGCTATTTTCCTTCAACACGGTGTGACCTAGGTATTACCTTGACAACATTATATCGACGGTAAACAATACCTTATGTTTTTACTTTAAGCTCTATATTTCTTTACTTAGTAAAAATAATAAATTTGTTTTCTTATCGACATGTTTCCAATTTAGTTTATGCAATCACCTAGGCCCTATCACGAAGGCGTAACGTTGTTGTTCCAATAACCGGCATGTTGATGAAGAAGAGCGTACGTCAGTAGTTGCCTATCGACAAACACACATTTAAGTATGTATTATCTATATCAACACTAATCTTGTTTACTTGTTGGCTTATCTTGAGAGCGGTCTTAACTGAGCAAATTTAGGTCTTAAGTGCCATCGTCGGGAATAGAACTGGGAACAAAATAATATGTTACGTCATATAATAATTATATTTACGTAAGATTAGACATTATGAGATGAATCTAACAACAGTGAATTATATAGCTATTTATCATCAATGGTAGCTGGAACTGGAACCGAATTTGTAAAGAACTTCGCCATTTAAATCAAGAAATGCATAATTCATGGGTTTCAAACGAAGTTAGAAAAACTGATTGCTTTATAATTAGAGTCATATTCTCCATGACTCATCATTATGCATTTATAACAATATCTTTTTCTTGGTGATTATCACTTTTTATGCAGTGCGTCAGCAACTTTGTGATTATAGAAATGTATTAAGAATTGGATTATGTTGAATGAATAAATGATAGACCTTCTAGAACAACAACGCTTCATTCAAGATGCTTTTGTTTAAAAAAGAATTACTATAATGTGTGTGGGCACATTGCGGCGATATAGAGAGCATTGACATTCTGAGAGCTCAAAATAACTGCACAAGATAATGTTCAATGCGCGTGCGCAGCGTGTAGTGTTGCACGTACGCAGCTCTTACAGGGCTAGTTGCGTGCGTAAAAGTGCCAATTTCTTGGAAAGATAACAATAACAGGAAAGAGGTTTTTTTTTGAATCGTTTAAATTCACCTGGCCCTTAGGATTCGGTCAGCAGAGTTCGTTTGACGTCTGCGTGAACATTATTCACCAAGGCGCACAAGATAGGTCCTTTTAACTAGTATGCATTGTGCGATTTATGCAAGTGACTTTGGTTTGTTACACTTTTCAACCTAAATCGCTGAACAAGAATATTCTTAGCTATACTGAGACTTATATACTATATCTTTTGTTACGTTAATGATTTGCATATCTTTTGAACGCCAAGATGTCTGCAGTCAGTACGTGCAAAGTGACACGAGTCTCGCCAAATTACTGATATTTCTAGATGTGACTTCGCCAGTTTTCTGACGACATGGAAATACCCATTTCATAAGAATAGGAATCTCCGGTTTCTTCATTATTCAGTTTATTTTAATAGGAAAAAGTTCTTAGTGACGATAATGAAGATGGCTTATGCCCAATTGTCCCATGACGAATCCGTTTTAAGTGACTAAATTAGATATTAAATCATGAATTAAAATCTAAATCACTATAGTAAAATCAATTAGGTAAGTAATCTTAATCTATTAATCGACGGTCGAATGTTGAATTTTAAGTAATCGCTGACCACTGGGCCATCACTATCAAACGAAACGGCTATAAAGCCGTGTCTATAAAACTTATCAAAATGTTATCAAATTATTTACGTAATGCAAAGGAGCATTGTGTAAACCAGCAGGTGAGGTCCTTCACCCTGCTGCCGTCTCGCTCGCCCGCAAACAAAACTCGCTCGTCGTCTCGATCACACTTTTATTATACTCATGAAAGTCACGTATGCTTTTATACAACTATAGTTCTACAACGGTTCAAGAAGGAAGCCTTTTTCTAAAATGAGATACCAAAACCTTTTATTAAAACGTCATTAAAATTTGGAAATGCTCTTTGCACTTCGAACTCTTTTATTAATCTGGTAAGTTATATTTTTTTAATGATATAATAGAAAACTCAAGTACATTAATAAATTTATACGACACACGGAATAGTCTCAAACAAAGTAGATAGAAGAAGAGGAATTAGGTGTAAAATTATATTCTGAAGATTTAAGTAAATTTTACTTTAGAGCGTACCTAGTCATAAAATACCGACGACACACTCGCCTCCTGGCAAAGTTTATGCCCACGGGCGGCGGCTTTTGCCAATTTGCCCCCTGTTTTATTTAAAACAAATAAAACCTTGGTTTAAAGAGAATCTAAAAGCCTTGGGTATCTTGGTTTGATTTTGGCAAAAACTAAATCTTACCACAGATACAGAAACATGCGAAATAAATCAATATCAGTCCAGCCGACTCTCGCTCTTGAGGAGGTCAATACGACCTCGTGCCGAGAATAAATTACCTAATTTACATGTACTTAAAATGTTTGAACAGCACAACGTGTGGATGTAAATGTAAAATAATATAATTGTTTTTATGAGTCACACTTATTATTGCTCACACAGTCGGTAATTATCATACATTTGCATTTGGCCTTTCTTCATTTGAAGTAAAAAATAAATGCTTCGCTACCACCACGATTACACCAAATCACTGAAATAAATTAATATTCGCTTTTGTGTTGCGAATTACTAACAAAATGCGGTTAGTACAAAGTGGTCCCCACTATTTCATAACCAGAGTTAGAGTTCTAAGCTACTTTTACAATATTTTTTTATAATAAAATAATAAATATTTTTTAAAGATCCAAACAGCCATTACATTAAACTTGACAATTAATGATAATGACCCGATCGAATTGCTGATTCTTGTTTTTATGTTTATTGCTAAAACAATGCAATTTGCGTCACAATGGCTAAATCTGTATCAAAATACGATTGACGTCAAGCGTTATTTTATTAAGACAATCAACTAAAATTATGATAAGCTTCAATTTGAATTTCAAGCTCAAGTTCGAATCGTACAGGCTACCATGGTAGAAGTTTGTAGTACAAGTTTGACAGAGCCAAGAGAAAAGTCTGACGGCGCCGGTGGCTAAGCGCAACACTAAAAATGTTCATTCAAATATATGAGATTTCTTTAACGAGTTTTTCACATGAGCCATATTTGTGGAGGTGGATTTGTGTCTTAATATATATTGATGTTTGTAGGCATCAATATTATTTATTCTCTTATTCGGACTGAACGCAGATAAAGTCGCGGGCAGCAACTAATAAACTTCATTTTGTATATTTAACTTTGTAACAAAGCAAACCCGCAGAACAAGGAGTACATAACATGAAGATAAAGATAAGATAAACACACACACGCGCATTGCACGTATCCCGAACGTGACAGTTATCTGTTAACAAATCTTGTTACAAAAGTATTGTCGCTATTTTAAACTCGAACAAAATATTTTGGCTTAACAGATGGCATTTGTAAAGAAGTAAGGTCTGTAGTAGATACTAATATCTAGATCTTACTTTACGAATTACAAAAATAAACCTTTATCACAAACGAAACAATTGTGTTA